AGGTCCCCAAATAATTCTGACATTGGTACGTTTCATGACATCATTAATTTCTCAAAGCCTTTGTTCATGGCTATTAGTTGTTTTTCTCTTTTTGCCTCAACTTCCTTCCACCAGCCTATCTTCTAGATCACTTACTCTCTCTTCTGCCTCATTCACCCTCATTGTTAGAGCATCCAAATTAGACTGCATCTCCATTATAACATTCTTAAATTTGGCCTGATTAGATCTCATTTATGCACTAAAAGATTCTCTAGTTTTTTTTCTATGTTTTTTTTTTTTTCAAACCTGGCTATTAACTTTATAATTGTTATCCTGGTTTCCATCTCTGACATCTAACTTATATCCTTATCAATTAGATCTGTGCAGAGAATATTACCTCTGGTTCTTCCTTTTGTTGTGAATTCCTCCTTCTAGTCATTTTGCCCAGAGAAGAATGGGTGAGCCTGTGAGCAGAATCAAAATTATCAACCACAACCCAAACAAAATACACACTAGACAAATCCAAAGAGATCAGAAACCAAAACAGAAAAGCAAGCAAAAAAAAAAAAAAAAAAAAAAAGGCAGAGGAGAGAGAATATAATCTCATAGGGTGGACGAATCAGGGTGATCCACTTGTTCCTGAGTGAATTTTGATCTCTGTGTTAGAAGACACTAAATCCCAAAATTGCAAAGAAAGCAAACCTTGTATATATACAAACCTAAAATTGAATAGAGTGAAAAGGTCAAAAAATGAAGAATATGTCTATGAAATGTAGATGTAAAAATAAAAATTAAAAAGTGACTTAAAAACAGTGTTGATAAAATAAGAAACTAGTTGAAAGGGGGGAATAAAAAGAAAAAAGAAATGGAAAATTTTAGACTGAAAGATAAATGAATCATGTGAAAAATCCTCAAGTTCTATATACTATTTTCCCCCAGCACCAGAGTTTTACAGTATTGTGGGATCTGTAAACTTGTGCACCTGTTCTGGGGGAGGGGCCTGCTGTGCTGCTTCTCAGGTGTCTTTGTCTGGGCAGAGTTGCACTACCCCTTGCCAGGGGGTTGAGCTCAGTGTATGCTGGTCCTCTGTGTGGCTTTTGTTCCTTGTAGGCTTTCTATGCCTCTTTAAAGGATCAAAATAAAAATGGCCATGCCGTGATATCCAACCCCAGACCCAAAAGATCGCAGTCCCCCCTCTTCAGTAAACACTCTGGGACAGTCTTCACTTTTGTTTATGCCAAACTCTGCACACTCCTGAAGTGCGTGCCCACAACAATCTTCCCAGAGGGAGTCTGAAGGTCTCGCATCACTGCCCTTTGTAGGGCCCTGGTGCTGAGACCTTTTGTGGGATGGTGCACATACCTGCTCTGCCACTCCCAGGGGATGGTGGAGAGTCCCTGTGTTCCATTCTGCTGCTTGGTGCCCATGCAGAGAGTGGTCACCCGATCGGGCCCGGCTCACAGTTTATGGTGACTGAGATGAGAGCCCTTATACCCGCCCCCCTGGTTCACTGACAGTAAACAGTTTCCCCACTCCACTTCCTGGACACTTTACTGGCTCAGGCACCCCATTAGTTCTGTGACCTCTGGGATGCTGACACCACACTGATCCACCTAGAATTCTGCCCCTTTCATCCCATAAGCCCCTTTCAGACAGGGATGTCTCTCACTGGAGCAGATTTCTAAGAGTTCTGATTTTGCCCTCTGGGGCTCTATTGTTTTCTGGTAGCCAGCTTATGGAGGCTCCCTCCCCTCTCCATTTATTTTCTGATATCTCCCCTCAGTTTCACTTTTCCATCCCTCCTACCTTGCAAAATGCAGTCACTTTTCTACTTGTAGAGTTCCAGATTTTTTTTTTTTACATCTCAGGCTGAATTCATGGGTGTGCAGAATGGTTTGATAGTTATCCAGCTAAATTCAAGGGACCAGATGAAATGAGGTCCCCTACTCTTCCACCATCTTGTGTCCTCCCCAGCTCCCTCATTTTCAAAGAAGTCACCCAATATGCTACAAAATCAGTATGAACAGATCTGTCTCCTGTTTTCCCCCAGCATTTTGTAAACTGCATTTTCATGTTGCCTTTCCACAAAGGCTACTGTCCCTTTATGGGCAGCAGCCCAGCTGTCACTCACCCTTCTGATTCATCTAGTGCTGAGGCACTGACTTTTTAAAGCTCCAGGCTCCAAGTCCCACTGGTTTTACAAACTCACGGAATTCAGTCTTTGGTTTTTACTGCTAAATGTTATGAGGATTAGTCTTCCCCATATCAGCTCTCTGGTGCAAGGGCCTATTTCTCTAACCTTTCTGCGTGTAGCTCACTTCCTTTTGTGGGCAGTCTCCCTCCATCTTTCTAACCTTCTTAACCTTTAAGATGCAGCATCTTTTATATATTTAGTTGTGGAGGGCTTTTGTTTGTTTGTTTCCTGCCAATCTCTGGATTGCTCTCCAATTTATTGACATGAAAATGGATGATATCTAGTTGTAAATGTGGGATGGGGTGAGCTCAATGTCCTCTTACTCTGCCATCTTTCCACACTGCTCTCTCCTCATTAACTCTTACTTAAACTAGTTCAGTACTTTAACAAATACATCCAGATCCCATCACAAAATTTGGATTTTTTTCATATCTTCCTCTAAATACCTGACCTATGACAGTTTGCTGTGAGACTATTTCTTCATTTTCAAAAAGAAGAGATTGAACTAGGTAGCTCCTAAATATCTTTGTAGTGCTTCATATTTTGATGCTTTACTACCTTAATATTGCTTTCTGAATTTGCTCACTGATTTTTTTTCTTCAATGATATTGTACAGATAGCATCTGGTTGAAAAAATGCATAGATATTTGAACTTTCTATTTTTTCTATGAATTAAAAATATGAGGGTACTCTTGCTCACGAATTGCCTTAGTGTCATTGTATGAGACACTTTTTTTCTGGCATTCCCTGTCTATAAGATATTTTTTTGACTTTTGTTTTTCACAGAGTACAAATCCATATATTATTACAAAATCCACTACTACACTTCCAGTAATTAAACAACTACTAGTTCAGTAATTATCAGTCAGGATCCAGTTCTGGATTGCTGATCAGAATAGCTTATGTAAATTCTTGAAACTTTTCCTGATACATTTTTTGTTATGAGGCACTCAGACCTGGCAGTCCTAATCAGGGTCCTTTGATTGGTTTAAATCACTGCCATCATATTTTCTGCCCAGAGTTACTGTTTGATGTTGGACAGGTCACTGGGGGACTGCAATTCTGTAAAGCTAAATGTAGCAAAAAAATTTCTGGGATCATCTATATTATATAATGTAAAAATGTATATCATCAATTCTGAGACTAAAGCAATTTCTTTCAGATTATTTTTTTGCCATGATTAATAGACAAGCTAATGTGGTGGAAATTTACTTCACTTGGAGTTTTCCATGCTTTGTAAAGAGTATAGAGTGGCAAAATAGAACCTTAGTTATTCTCTCAAATGTACACAATTACATGTTCTAGGCTGCACTTCCCCTTACACCTTTAATAAAGAATTCACCTTACCCCTTAGAATCAGATTCTTCTAATAATGGCACTTAAATTTTCTGTTTGCCACAACCAATATATGCCTTCTTTTCCTTGATTTGCATTCGCATGGGAGAATAGATTTCACTGAATTCTAAAATGCTGTGTTTTAAATCTGTCAGTTTTTCCCCCCTTTTTGCCCATGGCATCACTGCACCAATATATGGCTATGAATTTAGACATTATATAAAAATAATCAAGGTGAATTCACTAGACATTTTGGAAAGAATTGTTGGAATATGGTTTGTTGTTCTATTTTTAGTACCCATTTCCTTATATATCTTTATGGTACTGCCTGATATAGACTTCTTAAGAGAAATAATTTTAAACTTAAGCACTCACATTTTTTCTTTGAGTTTTTTATTTCTACCTCTTTGTACCATTATACAGACTTTTAAAAAGTAATTGCCTTGTATATTCTTTAAATATTTTATTTAAACTCAATTTAGTTAACATATAGTGTATTGTTGGTTTCGGGGTAGAATTTAGTGATTCATCAGTTGCATATAACATCCAATGCTCATTACATCAATTGCCCTCCTTAATGCCTATCACGCAATGCCTCATCCCCCCACCCACCTCCCCTCCAGCAACCCTCACTTTATTTCCTATAGTTAAGAATCTCTTATGGTTTCCCCCTCTCTCTCTTTTTATCTTAATTTATTTTTCCTTCCCTTCCCCTATGTTCATCACTTTTTTTTCTTAAATTCCACATATGGGTGAAATTATATGGTATTTGTCTTTCTCTGATTTATTTCACTTAGCATAATACCCTCTAGTTCTATCCACATTGTTGTAAATGACAAGATCTCATTCTTTTTGAGTAATATTCTATTGTATATATATACCACATCTTTATCCATTCATCTGTTGATGGAAATCTGGACTGTTTCCATATTTTAGCTATTGTGGACATTGCTGCTATAAACACTGGGGTGTATTATTTTATATTAATATAGAAAACGTAATTATACTATGGGAGCTGGCATATTTTCAGGGGTTACATGCCCTGTTTTCATTTATTTGGTCCCTCAATGTATAAGCATGAGAAAGGTAAAATATAGAAAGACAATTTGAAATAATTTTTTCCCTCCTCTCTTCCCCTTCTTTCCAAGGTAATTCTGACAGGGAAGACAGTGCATCCTTTAGCAAAGTCCCAACAATACATTCACTAGAAAGTAATTCCTTCAAGTATTTCACAGCGTTTTTTCTGAAAATGTTATTTTAGATGGAATTTGACAATCATTTAATGAGTTTTTAGATTTTTAAACTGTCCATTGTAAGATGAAGTAAAAAACAGGAGTTGAAACTTACTTTGTTAAAGAATATTATACATAAATTAGACATAGGTTTTCTTTTGGCTTGTTCTATGCAGCATAGATTTGTTAAAGAAATATATCCAGCTTTCAATTACATTAAGAAATCGTCCCCATTTTAAAAGGGATGGTTCTTGTTTTAGGTATAACGGCTGCAGCAATGGCTGAGGCAATGAAACTGCAGAAGATGAAACTTATGGCAATGAACACTCTTCAGGGAAAAGGAAACCAAAATGGGACTGAATCAGAGCCTGATGATCTTAATTCTAATACTGGTGAGTGTCTTCAGGACTGTAAGGCAGTGACTCTTACTAATGTACTCTGAGATTGGAGAGAGGAGGGATGAGGGGGAGGGGAGAGAATAATTTGTATACTTTGATTTTGAGCAGGTATTGCAGAAGGATGCTTAACCTTACTTCTAACTAGTATGGTGAAACTAGAAAACCATTACAAGTCAGAATTACATTTCAGGAAACAATCAGTTTATCTCCATTATTTTTTGTAATGGAATTAATTACTAATTTTTATAGTGTTAGCTATTTTACCTTCTGTGTGTAAAAGTTGTCCCTTTCAGTTTCATGCCCTCTTACTTCAACTTTCTCTCAACAACCTACCACTGAGAGGCAGTTCTTAAAATCCACCTTGGCTCCTCTGCAGTCACTTTAGGTGGACTACCATCTCTTTAGCTAAATAAGGTGCTAGCATACTCAGGTCATTGGCAGGGGCTAACAAAAAGAGGTAGAACAAGGAGAAAGCAAAGAAAAAAAAAGACAGAATAAAGGAAGAGAAGAGAAAGATGCCTGTGGAGTGGCATATCCCCTACCTTCTTGCTACTTGTTTTTTCTTTTTTACCTCTAATAATTTTACTTTAGTTTTGATCATAAGACCACTCCTCAGATCTCTTTTGGAAGTAACTTGGATTATACATATCAACATACATTAATGGATGTATAAATAATAAATAAGTATGGTTTAATTTTATTGGGAAATAAGAAAGGGTAACCAAAGACAGTCTCAGGAGCCATAAGTTTCTGATCTAATTCTGCAGCTGAATTTAATATAATGAGATAGGCAGATTGGTAGCAGTCTTATCTCTCTTCTTTTAGTCTCCTAGAAGTTCAAACATGGTGGGACCTTATTTTAGAGGAAAAAAAGGGGGGGTAATTAAAGAGGGAAATAACTGACTCAGATCAGCATTATAAAATACTCTGACTTTAATACAGTATAGCTCTCCTCATCTAAAACTGAAATGTTCACAGTGAATTATAGAGTAAGATATGGGCTTCAACCAGTGCTCACAGCAGCAAATCAATGGAAAAATGCATTCGTTTATTGAATTTGTAGCAACTGTAAGCAACACATAGATAATACTAAAATTAATACTAAGCAAAGAATAACAACAATAAGCAATTACCAGTTATTATGTACTAAGTTCCCATGTTTGTTCTTTAGTTTCAAACATTTTTCTATTTAGATATAATTGACATATAACATTGTGTAAGTTTAAAGTGTATGTGTTGATTTGTTACACATCTATTGCAATATGATACCACCATAGTGTTAACTAACACCACCATCACATGACATTATTATTTTTTGTGGTAAGAACCTGTAAGATCTAGTCTCTTAGCAACTTTCAAGTGTATAATACAATATTGTTAACTATAATCTCAATGTTGTGCAGCATTTATTCATCTATCTCCTTTGTTAACCCATTTAATTCTTACCAAATTTCCAGACAAAAAAGGCATTTTCAATACTTCATTTTGCAGATAAGGAAACAGCGGCATAGTGTGGTTCAGCTTTGCTCATAGTCCCAAAGCTAGTAAATGGCAGAGGTATGTTTCAATCCCATGTCTGGTTAAGTCCAAAGTCTGTTTTATTCACATTCTTTCTCCTCTTTAATGCTCTTTTGTAGCAGAAATTTTATTTTATCAAACCCTTCAAATAAAAGTTGTTTTTATGATGAGAATACACTGATAAACTGATGATCAGTTTCCTAGTCCTAACACCTCTTACCTCATACTGGCTTTCAAATCTTAGAGTGTCTTAGAAGTGACCATCATTTGACAGGAAGCCTCTTGTATACCAAAATATTTTGTACCAATAACAATTAATAGGAGTTCAAGCAGCAATTTCTGTCATGTTTTTCTTAGATATACCAGTTTATGAAAAAACTGTACAAAATTTCTAAATTGTTACTTTATAACAAGACAATAAAGACATTTTGAGAGATGCACTGATGATGTAATTTCTAACTTAGTAAGTAGTTAATTTTCCTGGCTAAATATAATCTGTCCTAACTCCATCTATCCATCATTGTGATAAAATAAAGTATTAGGTTCCATTTGTGTATAATGTTATACTTGGTGCTATAGAAATGAAATTAGAGTAGTCACTGTGTTTGACCTTGCAGATTGCAATCTATCCTTATCTTGATGTAATTAAGGTAAGCAGTTATAAAAAATAATTATAAAGATGATGATAATAATACATATTTATATGAAGTCCCTGAGATTTTCAAAGTCTATAAATGAGCACTGCTGCCATGTGTGTATATGCACTCTAGATTGTGTTATTGGGAGTGATCCCCTCAGCCATAACTTCCTCTCATGGGGTATTGGAGAACAGGTAGACTTCAGCAGTCTTTTCCACTGAGGACTCCAGCAGCTTCCACTGTCACCATAGACAACCACAGATTTGTCTGTCAAAGAACTTCACAGTCTTTGCCAATGGTGATCTCAGCTGATGGAATTGTACAAAGTCAACACTCCTGTGCCTTCCAGAGCTGCCACACCCTACACAGCCAATATCTTTGAACCCACTTGCACGTGAAGGTCTTTCCCTACTGAAGTGAGTCCATAAAGTCTGAAAGAGGTACCTACTGCCTCAAATGTGCAGACAACAATGAAAAGTCATATAGAACATGAACAATCAATAAAACACCACCCAAAAGGAACAAAATATTTTTTTAATAAACTGACCCCAAAGAAATGGAGAATTCAAATAATAATTATATAATTATATAATAATTGTTTTAAGAAAGCTGAATGAATTATAAGAGAACACAATTAAGTAACTCAAGGAAATCAGGAAAACAATGTGAATTCAACAAAGAGAAGTCAATAAGAGAATGTGGCAGAAATTCTGGAGTTGAAGAATACAATAAAAGAAACAGAAAATACAGTAGAAACTTCAGTATCAGACACAATCAATCAGGAGAAGAAACTGCGAACTTGAAGATAGGTCATTTGAAAATTTCCAGTCAGAGGAGAAACAGGAAAAAAGTGAAATAGAGGAAAGTAAGCCTACAGGATTTACAGAATATCAGGATGTATTGTTTCTCTTGCACTGATACATGCATTATGGGAGTTCTATGGGGAGAAAAAAGAGAGAAAGGGGAAAAATGAGCTTATTTAAAGAAATAATTACTGAAAATTTTCCAAATCTAGGGAGGGAAATTCACATCCAGGTTAATGAAACTCAATAATCCTCAAATATGATCAATCCAAAGAAGACTACACTGATACATATTATAATCAAATTGTCAGAGATCGAGGACAGAGAGATAATTTGAAAGTATCAAGGGAAAAATCAATCTGTTACATATGAAGAAATTACCATAAGACTATAAGCAGATTTCTTAGCAGAAATTTTGCAGGCCAGAAGAGAATGGGATGATATATTTAAAGTACTAAAAGAAACAAACTTCACACCAAAAATACAATAACTGGAAAAAATATATTTCAAAAATATAAAAGAAGAAATAAAGTTTTTCCCAGATAAACAAAAGCTGAAGGAGTTCATCACCATTAGAATTCCCTTACAAGACATGCTTAAGGGGGTTCTTTAAATAAAATGAAAACACAATAAAAACAGCAGTGTTAAATCATAGGGATGCATAAATATCACTGGTAAAGGTAAATGTACAGATAAATACAGATTAATGTAACACTGTAATGGTGCATAAATAATTTTTAACTCTAATATAAAAATTAAAAGATAAAATTTGTTAAATGAATACACAATATAAAAGGAATCAATTTCTGACTACAAAAACAAAAAGGGTGTGTGGGCAAGTAAAAATGGAGAGTTTTTGTATGCAATAGAAGTTAAATTGTTCAACAATTCATTAATTGAATGCTACATCAAAAACTAATGATGTACTATCTGGCTAACTGAACATAAAAAAAAGAAGTTAAACTGTTATTTAGTTAAAATAAAAATTTTATTGAAGTGCAAGGCAATTGAGTAGTTGCTAACACTAGAGAGCTCTGTAAGTGATTAGAGAGACCAATCAACCCAGGTAGTGAGAGAACAACTCAGGAAGGAAGGGACCAACTGAGTCTGGGTCCAGCATTCAGCATCTATGATTTGTTTTTAACTCTTTTTCTTATGAATTGAATTGTGTCCCTTAAAAAGATATATTGAAATCCTAACCCCCAACACCTCAGAATGTGAACTTGTTTAGAAACAGCATCATTGCAGGGGCCCTCTGGGTGGCTCAGTCAGTTAAGGACCTGCCTTCAGCTCAGGTCATGACCAGAGGGTCCTGCATCAGGCTCCCTGCTCATCAGGGAGTCTGCTTCTCTCTAAAAAGAAAATAAATGAAATAAAAATAAAATAAAAATTTTAAGTCCATATTGTATACAAGTCTAAGTTAAGCAGAAAGTAGAAAGCTATAATAGATATAAAAACGATAAAGAGAAAAGAATCAAAGCAAATCACTATCAAAACAACTCAACAAATAACAAAGGAAGGCATCAATAGCAAAGAATGACAAAGCAAGTTTAAACCAAAAAAGTATTAACAAAATGGCAAGAATAAGTCATTAGTTATTAATTACTTAAATGTAAATGGATTAAACTAACCAATTAAAATGCACCAAGTGGCTTAAAGTATTAAAAAAAAAAAAATCCCGTCACATGGGAATTTATTCTAGGGATGCAAGGGTGGTTCAATATAAACAAATCAACCAGTGTGATACATCACATTAACAAAAGAAAGGATAAAAACCATATGACCATTTCAATAGATGCACAAAAAGGATTTGACAGAGTGCAATATCCATTCATTGTATAAATCCTCAACAAAATAGGTTTAGAAGGAACACATCTCAACATAATAAAGGCCATATATGAAAACCCACAGCTAACACTTTACTCAATGGTGAAAAACAGAGCTTTTCCTTTAAGATCAGGAACAAGACAAGAATGTCCACTCTCCATTTTTATTCAGTATAGTACTGTAAGTCTTAGCCACAGCAATCAAACAA